GAGAGAGAGAGAAGGAAGAAGAAGGAGACATGTTAAAGGATCACTGCTGAAACTGTGTTCTTTTTACTCTGTAAAGCGCACTGAAGCCTTTCCTGTGGAAATATTCTATAAATAATATTATTTTGCTATCATTTTCCTCATTACGACCTCGTGAGTACGTGCCACACTGACCTGTCTTGCCAACTCCGTTCTGCCCGAGAACTGCTACCCTGAAAGGTCTGGGTCTGGAAGAGATGATGCTGATCCTCTTGAGCAGACGAGATGAGTTGCTGGATGGTGAAGCCATGGCAGAAAAGACCACAGTATTCTTTCCGCAGAAGAAACCCGAGTTTGTATTGTTTTTGTTTTTGCTTTCCTTTTGTTTTCTGTCCTCAGGCTAGTTCAGTTAAATCACGTCCGTTAAACCATGGTGGCCGTTTTGGCTGAGCGTGTTTTTTCCCCCCTCCTACCCTTGACAATGAGAGAGAGATGCAACAGCTCAACTATTGCACATTTTGATCCACAATAATATTATTGTCCGGAAAAAAGTAGAAAGTTATAAACACTGTTCTGACTTTAAAAAATTAAAGGAGTCCGCTTGAACCGAAAATGGTTAAACCGAAAGCAGAAACAAAGCAAAATAAAGTGTACAAAAATCCTATATTTATATTGTCTTTATTTGAACAATCTCTCTGAACAGAAAACACGGTTAAACCAAAGAAATAAGGCGGTCCTGCAGTTTTCGTTTTAAACGGATTCCATTATAATATTACATATTATTCATTTATAATTTGCCCGCTACGTGACGCTTGTGAGCGCGTTGCCAGAAGCAAATGAAATACCATATGGAGCAACAAGTTTAACGTTATTATTATATCCTCACGTCCCACTGTGCTCCAAAACAGATCACAATCGAATGCAGTGGCTGGCGAGAAATTATGCTGCACAGTTCCTGAACAGATTATGGCCCAATGCGCTGCATGGCATGGCGAGAAAGAATTCGTCTAATGTCATTCTTATGTTGTTCTCCAAGAAAAAGACGAAAGAAACTCTTTCGACATGCCACAACAGAGGCTGACGCAGTCATAATGGGCTGGCCTTGTTGTTGACACAGTTCTGAG